TCCGGCGCCGACGGGCCGCGGCGGTCACGGGCCGAGCGCTGCAGTGGGAGGGTCCGGCCCCGCGCTGCCCAGGCCGGAGCTGCCCCCGCTCCGGGGCTGCCGGGGGGTCTGACCTGTCAGAGCTGAGTCCCGCTTGCACTGGGCTCGTCTGACTTTCGCAGCTCTTCTTAGTGGTGTAATAAAAGTTTCAAGTCTTCCTCCAGAGCTTGTTCTGCTTAGTAGCAACAACAGTAGCGGTAACAGCCAGGGGTTCAGCTCTTGCCTTGCCCAGCAGGGCTGTGTCCGCTGAGCCCGGTGCCGTGTCCGGGTTGTGTCACAACACACAGGTCTCCAACCTGAGGCTGTGGCAGGTGTGTTCTTCCAGGGCACGGGGAGCAGAAAGTGATGTGCCCCTGAGAGGGGACTCACCTGCTGCCCGACTTGCAGAAGTGCAAGGGTAACATGAGGAAAAGAATGAAAGCCTTAGGATGATGCATGATCCAGTGGCATTTCATAAACCCAAAGATTTCTGTGGGAAGGACATTTTTTGCCCTTTTTTTTTTTTTCCCCTACCAAAACACATGTCCCGTGAACCTAGAAGGAAGTAAGTTGGAGGTACTGATCTTCTGACCTGGTCGCATTGGATTCCAGCTGTACTGGAGTTCTGACTTCAAAGGAACAAAATCAAAAGTGCACTTTGATCTCATCCCTAATGCAGGGCCTTAAACATGACAAACCTCTCTGAAGAGCAGACTTGCTAGTCAGCTCAAGTGTGATCATAGGTATTTTTGTTAAATTCCTAAGATTTTAATCCTTATGCTCATCTGTGAAAGGATGACAGCTCCACCTCCTGATCAGTAAGATGATGTGTGGCAGGGAGAAGAACTGGTTTGTCTTCTGCTGCAAAACCAAGAGGGTTCAGAAAAACCTGTCAGGGGAAGGTTCAGACAAAAACAGAAGGAAATTGTTCTACACAACATTTTGATAAGGGCAAATTTATTTGTCCTGTGATGTTGTAGCCTACTAAAAGTTTAAATGGGTTCAAAGAGAAACTGGGCTTTGTTGTTGAGAACCATTGGTAGACTGTCATGAGATGACCTTAGAATTCTAAAATAATTTTGACTGGAAAAGACATTTCAGATCATCAAGTCCAGCCATTTACCCAGCACTACCAAGGCCACTACTAACCCATGTCAGTCAGCATGGCATCTACATGGCTTTGAAATTCATCCAGGGATGGGGACTCCAGCACCTCCCTGAGCAGCCTATTTCAGTGTTAATTACCCTTTCAGTGAAGAAGTTTTTTCTAATATCCAATTCAAACCTGCCCTGATGCAATTTGAGGCCATTTCTTCTTGTCCTGTCACTTGTTCCTGGGGAGCAGAGCCCAACCCCCCTGGCTCCAACCTCCTCTCAGCAGCTGCAGAGCCAGCAGGTCTCCCCTCAGCTCCTTGTCTCCAGGCTGGACACCCCCAGCTCCCTCAGCTGCTCCTGCTCACACTTGTGCTCCAGCCCCTTCCCCAGCTCCCTTGCCCTTCCCTGGACACGCTGCAGCCCCTCCATGTCCTTCTTGTCCTGAGGGGCCCAGAATTGACCCCAGGATTCAAGGTACAGCCTCAGCAGTGCCCAGCAAAGGGGATTGAGCCCTGTCCTGGTCCTGCTGGCCACACCAGTGCTGACACAAGCCAGGATGCTGGTGGATTCTGTGGGAAGTCTCAGTGCTGCACTGAGGGC